AAAAAAAAAAAAAAAAAAAGATTTAAAAACATTAACAAATTCAATTACTAAAAAAATCTGAAGAATGTTTTTAGCAGTGTTTTTGATTTATTTTCCTTTCTAACAATATGTTTTGTATATTGATTGCAATTTACAGTTGAAACAACTTCATTAGGTACATAAAATGTTTATGCCTCATAGTGACTTTTGGTGTGTCAAGACACAGTAGCTCTACTGTTTCTACTTTAATCATGAAAAGTGAAGCTCATGTAACATGACCAGTTACTGATTAAGCATATTAAATAATATCACATTTCTTTTGTCCTTAATGTTTGTTTGCATGTATTTTTATTGTGCTCTTCAGTAGAGTTGAGCCTTTATTAGTCTCCTTATTCACAGAATCTGAGAAAGTTTATATAAAATCCTGTTAATAAGGTTTCAAAGACAACCATGATAGCTATAGTGATATATATTACTTAGGTACCAGAAGGGTGTGTGAACTATACTCCTTAGGGCTTACCTACTTTGAAGGATGTTGTGCTGTAAAATTCATTTGGTAAACTTTTTCCATATGTCTTGCCTGTGTATCTTAAGTCCTGTGTGACTCAACAACACATTGCATTTTGATTTCCTGTGATACACATATATGTTCTGATACTGCTGTTTTAAGGTGTTTGATAAAATACCTTGTAAAATAATTATATGGAAAAGCCAATTGTTGACAAGTCACTTTTGAGAAGATGTGAAATACAGAGAATTTTGTGATTAAAAGGTCAGCAGGATGAGGAAGTAGCCCAAAGGTAGAGTGCTAACCTACCATACAGAATGTGGTGGGTTGTTTCTCCAGAACTGTTAAAAAGTAAAATTTCTTGGCACATTTCAGGGACATGTTTTGTCTCACCATTTGGGCGATTACTGATACGTATTAGCATACACAATTTTCACTGTTGCTTTCTTCGAAAGAACAATTGGTTTACCATCTTTCACCTTTTGCCTCAATGAAGTGGGAACTGGGTTGGTAACTTACTGCTATTTTACTGTTACTCTTCCCTTTAAAAGACATGAGGCCTGTCTTAGTTAAGTTAGAATTTTGTAGTTTATCCTTTCTGTAATATTTCCTGAGATAGATTTTTTTTTTAACATTGCAATTTTTTTCTTCAAAAGAAGTGAGTTGTGTACAGGAGGGTTACATGCTTTTTAGACAAGAAAAAAAAAACAACTGGCTAGAACCAACTTATTCATCATCATCCTTTTCTTCATCCTCCTCATCTTCCTTCTCATTATCCTCATCTTCCTCCTCCTCCTCCTCTTCCTTTTTCTTGCTTTTTTCAGCCTTGAAGACTCTGTTTTGGGCTGCATCAGGTTTTCCTTTAGCCTGGTAGGCAGTGATGTCCTTTTCATACTTCTTCAGTTTAGCATCCTTTTCATATGGCTGCTTGTCATCTCCTGCAGTATTATTCCACATTTCTCCAAGTTTCTTTGCAGTGTCACCAATGGAAAGGCCAGGATGTTCTCATGTGATTTTTGGGCGATACTCAGGACAGAACAAGAAGAAGGCTGAAGGAGGCCTCTTGGGCGCATTGGGAATCCTTGAACTTCTTTTTTGTTTTTCCTTTAGGAGGATTATAGGTTTTAATTTCTCTTTCATAATGAACCTTGTCTGCTTTTACCATATCTTCAAATTTTCCCTTTTCTTTAGTAGACATGGTCTTCCACCTCTCTGAACACTTCTTAGAAAACTCTGAGAAGCTAATGGAAGCATCTGGGTGCTTCTTCTTGTGCTCCTCTTGGCAAGTTTGCACAAAGAATGCATATGATGACATCTTGTCTCTCGGCTTCTTAGGATCTCCTTTGCCCATGTTTACTTGTTTTCCTCAGTGAGGTACAGAGTCACCCACTGCCCATCCAGCTCTCACCTGCCCCCGTGCTGTCTATGGAGCTCTGTACTGCAATGGCTTGAGATAGATATTGTTGCATGGTAATGAAATTTACAAACATCTGACATTGAGCTTGATCACAAACTTGGAAAAAAGAATTTCTCCTACACAATTTTTTTTTTTTTTTTAGAAACGGTAGTTTTCCTTGAATTACTATTATGCAACGTTGTTGGAATATTAGACCTTTTTTGAGGGGGGCTATTGGAGATTGAACTCAGGACCACGCACTTGCCAGGCAGCTTATGCCACTGAGCTCTCTCCCCAGCCCTAGAATTCTTTTTTTTTTTTTTTTAATTTATGTGTGTGTGTGTGTGTGTGTGTGTGTGGCCAGCTCAGCCCACCATGGGCGGGGCTGGCTGGCATGGGGTGCTGGGGATTGAACCGCGGTCCCTGTGCTTTGTTAAGCTTGTTCTAAGTAGGTGCTTTAGACCACTGAGCCATCTCACCAGCCCCCTAGAATTCTTAATAAACAAGAATAATCTAAACCAATGGTAGTGATTCTGTTGCACACAGGCCATGGTAGGGCGTTACCATTGAATGTTCTAAAATGTTCATCACTGTTCCCAACAAAGATACCAATATTTCAATATATATTTAATCCTATCGTAGTAATTTTTTCTCATAGTAATTTTTAGAATATCCAGTTAATCTTTAAATATTCAAGTTTGTGGAATTCCTACTTTTCTCCTTAATATCTGAAAGTTGTTCTACCAGATAAGGGAGACAAACCTTGGTAGATGAACAAACATTAATAGGATGATGTTCTACTTTGTGACTGTACCTGCTTTCCACCTCTATCCTTTGTGGTTTTTCTTTGCCAGTAACAGAGATTGAGGCATTAGGTCTTGTACTGTCAGTAGTGTCTTATCTAAAACTGTCCACATTTTGCTTATGATGATTCTAGGTTTATTTCATTGGCTGTTAAGCAGTTAAGCCTAATCCTTCAGAAGTCAGTGGAACTTTTGCACTAGCAAATTCACTAAATGTTCAACTGTCCAATGGGGGGGGGCGGCAATCACTGTGATAGGTTGTAATTTTCAGATTGTAATTGTAGGGTACAAATATATAGAAAACAGAGAAATCAAGATCATCTAGTACATGGTGTGAGCCAATGTGGCTTTTAGGCCCCCAGAGTAATGCCTTTTTCTGAAAGGCAAGAGGAAGTTCTGATTCTAGAAATAGAAACATTTAGCATCTGTCTTTTATATAAATAATCTTAGTAAGCTACATAAATGTGTCTGTTTCCCTCATGGGTTTCTACCACAGACAGCCACTGAACAAACGACGATTGTAGACCATTTTTGTCTCTGTGGTTTCATGGAACACCACAAGGCATACCACATGGAATGCTAAATAGAGGAAGCAGCTTTTTCCTTTTCCCACTGGCCTGGACTTATACACAGTTACACCATGGATGGCTCCATTATTTCTTTTTATTAAGTAGTAGGAATTTTTGGAAGTCCAGTCTTTGGATTTTTAGATCTGTTTCAAATGTCCCTTCTGCTGAAATATATTTTGAAATTTATGTAGTTATCTATGAATCCATGCTTTTTAATTTTGATTTCAAGAACAATACTATAGAACCGTAAAATGAAATAAATTGGAAGATAGCTTTGTGTAACAGCATCTTTACTGAGTAGCAGATTTAGATCAGTAGACATTGGATGTATACCTAAGGTCATTTAATCATCCCATCAGTGTATATTCAGTTCATCTATTCTTCTGGCTTTGTTAATCTATAGACACAGTTCCAATAGTCTTTCACATTTCCAGTACCTACTATGTCCTAAGTGCTCACAGACTCATCCATGTAGTCACGTGCATGTTTTGTGTGCCTTTTGTTTTTATTTGATTTCTCTACATATATATAGTGATTATTTTGAACTGTAACTCTTCTCACATACTCCCATGATGAAATATTGTGTGACTCATTGTGGACTTACAATGTAGTAACCTTACTGTATACCAAAGGTTTTATACCATGCTTATTTATCATTCATAAGTACAGTATGTTTCTACCTATGTACTATTTTCTGACCTTCTTAACCAACTTGCAGTTCCTTAAAATTTCTATATTCTCATGCTTTTGCAAATCTTCAATGAAATGTTCTTGTTACTTATTATTTATTTCATGCCCTGTGTATGTTCACATGTACATGTATTTGTCACTGTGGTAATCATTACAGGGGCTGGTGAGATGGCTCAGTGGTCTAAAAGCACCTACTTAGAACAAGCTTGGCAAAGCACGGGGACCACGGTTCAATCCCCCAGCACCCCATGCCAGTCAGCACCGCCCCCTGGTGGGCTGAGCTGGCTACACACACACACACACACACACACATAAATAAAATTTTAAAAAAAATATAATCATTACATGTTTTCTATTATAAGGCTTCTGGGAAACTGAGTATGATTTCAGAAGATAGAGGTATATTTAAGTATTTTGGTGGCTTTATTTCCAGCCCCATAGAAAGGAATATGATATGCAATGAGAAGAATAAATTTCCCATGGAATTAAGGTCTAGAAAGAATTTTCTGTGCTTGTGCCTGGTTCTTCTCTTTGTCTTCCTGTCCAAATCTATCTCTCTCCATTCTTTGCTGTTGAGCTCTTCTGTAAGATGT